ATACCTAGAATACAGAACACCGTACATTTACTTACCAAATCAAATTTTAAAAAAATTTCCAGATTTTTATTTTTTCAACATAAATATAAAATAAATATTAAATATATATGAAGCACAAAATACAAATACATATGAATATGATGTCGAGAGAAATCAGTATCGTAGTTTTACGTTACAAATAATTTTTTTTTCAATTTAAAATTCTTTTTAATTCTTTTCTCTTCAAATTTTTTACTTATAAGTAACTTTTTGTAAAATATTTTCCGTCTTATACTATCTTTAATTTTTTAATTTTTTGGGAGGTATGGAAATTGCGTGTTGCAGTGTTTTCTTACAGTATAAATATTTTTTAATTAAAATTGAAAAAAATTAAGTTTTTTCATAAAGAAAAAAGAATTAAAAAGTATTTTAAATCGAAAAAAAAATTTATAATATAAACAAAACAAATAAAAAATAAATAAATGAGGAAAAAAATGAAAAACAAGAAAGAAATCTCCATGCATCATGCGCTAATGTAATGAACCAAACAATTAGATTTCACCAAATACTTCGAATTTTCAACCAATTTCGAAAAATCTACAATTTTGATGCTAATAAAAATACAATAAATACAAAACTCGTGCAACGCATGTGTCAAAGACTAGTATGGACTAAATTTTAGAAAAGTTCAATAACGATATTCTGGCATGGCAAGAACACCGATAGATCAAGTCAACATCTATTTAAAAATAAAGATAAAAATGTCTCTCAAGTAGAATATTCAAGAATTATTGAAAGTTTAATGTACTTGATGAGTTGTATAAGACCAGACATAACCTATATAGTTGGTAAATTGAGTACATACACGAGTAATCCAGGAGCTGGTCATTGAAAAGGAATAGTAAGAGTACTGAGGTACCTAAGATATACTCATAATTTCGAATTGCACTATACCAGATACCCTGCAATCATTGAAGGATATAGTGATTCAAATTGGATATCTGATATAAAAGATTCCAAGTCAACTAGTGGATTTGTGTTCACATTAGGAGGTGCAGTTATATCTTGAAAATCCTTTAAACAAACAGTTATAACCAAATTTACTATGGAATATGAGTTTATAACTCTAGAAGAGGCTGAGTGGTTGTACAACTTCTTAGAGGATATTTCAATATGATCAAAATCCTTGCCAGCAATTTGCATACATTGTGATAATCAATCAGCAATTGGAAGAGGGTGAAGTAACTTGTACGATGGTAAGTCTAGACATTACGTCGTAAATATAATTCCATAAGGTAACTACTCTCAACTGGAGTTATCTCTATTGACCGTGTAAGGTCAAATGATAACATTGTGAATCCGCTAACCAAATAGTTAAATAAAGAGTTAGAAAATTATCGAAAGGAATGGGACATAAACCCTTGAACGGATAAATTAATAGAAAGGAAACCCAACTTAATTGACTGAAGATCCTAATATCTAGGTTCAAATGGAAAACCTATTTTTAAAGACTTAATTGAATCACTATCAGGGATGTTACCTCCTGTCCATTCATATGGTGTAATAGTAATGCTCATGAGGATAAATGATAAGCAGCATACTTTTAATGATTCTTATGCGTAAAAAATCGAGCGAAGTAATGTAGGTTACTTGCAATAAGGAATTACCTATGTGAGAGAGAAGTTGGATTGCGTTTTAAGAAAGTTGTATGTGGTTCAATTCTTAGGAACTCTAATAGAACCAAGCGTACTCCTTTCGTCATTTTTCTATTTTTTTTAAGACACTTTTATTTAATTTAGGGAAAATTGCAGCAGAAGCCCCAAACCTTTGAAACACTAGCAGACTTTTCCCAAGCCTTTGATTTATTACAGTCGTTACCCCCAACCTTTCCAAACGTTGCAAGGGAAGCCCTTTTGGACGGTTTTCATCCATAATTTCGTCAATTAACCAAAAATTTAAGTTTGACCACATTTTTAATATTTTAACAGGGGCAAAAGGGTAACTTTTCATTATCACATTAAATAATAATTAAATTAAAAAATAAGAAATGAAAAAAAAACACATACAGACCCGTCTTCTTCCTCTTACCCCACCCCCAACCCCACCCCCAACTCAAACCAAAAATCCATCGAACCATCTCCACCACCATCTTCACCTCCACAACCACCTGCTACTAAATTCAATCCATTCATTTGTTAGCAAATTGCACTAAGCGTAGCTATAATTTTTGGCAGAATTCAGGCAAACTAACATCCAGTGGCATTGCTGCAATCTAAACCTAAATATGATTTTTCTCATCCCATTTCTATACACGAAGGGTAGCAGTTTCCAAGAATTCATGAAGAACTCTGATATAGATTTCTCCTCCACTTTCGATTACGTGCTCCAAGAAGACGGGCAATATTCTTGGATACTCAAAGAAGAATTTGTGTGTAAGATTGCAGGATACAACTGTCCTAGACGAGCTTAGGAAATAAGTAATTTTTTCGTCGTTTTTATGGATGATTACTAATGAATATTCTTACTTGGTTTCCTCTGCAAATTGGGGAAAACTTGCCACAGAGGTTGAGGAAGTGGTAACAGATGACGAGGTGCATTTCAATTTTGTAGCAAATTGTAGGTTGCAATTGAATCCCCCATTGCCGACTACATACTTTGACAATTGCATGGTACCTGTGCTTTAGGTGAAATCGAGTCAAGGAAAATTAAAGGGATTGTGATGGGTTGGATGATGGTCGGCAGTTGCAGGTGGTTGTGGAGGTGGCGGTGGTCCGGTTAAAGAAGACGGGGCGCGTGCGTTTGTGTTTTTTTTTTCGTTTCTTATTTTTAATTTAATTATTATTTAATATGATAATGAAAAGTTACTCTTTTGCCCCTATTAAAATATTAAAAATGTGGTCAAACTTAAATTTTTTGTCAATTGACGAAATTATGGATGAAAACCGTACAAAAGTGCTTCTCCTACAATGTTTGGAAAGGTTGGGGTGACGGCTGCAACAAATTAAATATTTGGAGAAAGTCTGCCAGTGTTTCAAAGGTTTGGGGCTTCTACTGCAATTTTTCCTTTAATTTATTTCCTAGCTTTTACCTTGAAAACTTTCTGGTTGTATAATGTCATTTTTTTAAGAATTACAGAGAGGGAAAAGCTATCGTAGAATATTTAGCCCTTATTTTACGTAAATTGCTATGAACTAATTAGATTTTCCCGGAACGCTATCTAAGCTAATAGTTTTAGTTCCCTACAATTAAATCAATAAGCTTTTTGTTTGATTCAGAGCGCCTCCCCTACATGGTATTGAGGTTCCGACTAAGTTCCACCAATGGATGGCATATGTTCATGGTTAGAACAAACATAATAAAAAGAACTGAATTGTGTTGAAAAAAATCCTGTGTAGAGTATCTCATTTCTTACATAAATGGGACAACAGTTCAAAGACAGCGCTTTTACTGGCTAACTAGAAAAGTAATATGCTTTCACGGGGAAAGGTTCAAAAGATAATACCTACCTATCCTATGTAGGTTTTAACCATTGAACTATATCACCCAGTTTTTATGTTTTACATTTCTACGTCGCTTTCAATTTTCATTAATGTTGGGGATTGTTAGAAAAATGACTTTTTAGCTGACTTTTGGCACAATTTTAGGTGAGACCCATTAGTTCAATTTGGAAGATCAAATTTGATCCGTATTCTCCTTCATGAGAATATCAAAATCATATATTTACTTGCCAAAAATAATAAATGAGAAATTAAAATTCAAAGTGGACCATTGGAAGATGGTTTATGTTGGAGGAAAAACTATATTTAAGCTTATTCCACCTAGAAAGTTGGTGAAAGTAAATACCACTTTATATATGGTTACACTTTGAAAGAGTGTAATCATGTGTAGCATTGATGCTTTTTCCACGTACTTGTGAAGGAGTGCAGATCAACGACCGAAATTGTACATCAAGGCTTGAACTTATGTGTGGACGCGATTTGCATACATGAATATTGGACCAAACAGAGCAAAATCGACCCCTTAAGAGTGCCACGTTTTACTAATTTTTTGCTTTCTCCAACTAACTTTTTAGCTTTTGAAATTATTGAAACTCCAATAATTATTACCATTGTAATTGAGTTAATGGATAAATTTACTCACCATTCACGAAAGCCAATGTTATAATTGAGCTCGTTTTCCACCATTCAATACCAGAAAATTACATTATTCTGCATAATCTCCAGTTCCAGATCTCTGTATCATTTCCAGTTCTAGATCTCAGAGAAATGTTTCATTTTCCAACTAAGTCTTGGTGGTGGCTGTTTTTGCACAAATTTATTTTGTTAGAGTAGAAATTGAAGTGCTCAGATTCTACTGATTTTTTCGTTGTATTCTAAAAGACAGACATCCTAACTAATCTCAAGTATCTACGGTGAGGGAATAAATCTGTTTTAAGGAAATTGTGTACGCATTGGCCTTAATTTGCAGATTTATAGTATTTTTTGCGATTTTTATGTATTTGTAGTTTTCATTATTTGTTTGTTTATGTTATTGCTATAATAAATAAAATTTATATTATTCTATAATTTTGTGACAATAATTACTCCATATAAAAATACACACAAAGCGCTGAGCCTTGGATTTGAACTAGTAATACTACATTTACATTCATTCGTTATTCATTTCATATCTTGTCTACGAGTTACAGCTTTGTCTTGCCTTCATAATGATAGGTGGTCACTCTTCTCTTGCCAACTTCTAGTTGAGTTGCATTGTAGAACTTGAAAGGTTGTGATTTTTTTTTTTTGTGAGAAATTTAATTTTTAAAGTTTGACTGTCCTAAAAATGATTCTCGTTTTTGAGAATGTGTGGTAAAAAGTTTTTTTTTGTTTTTGGTTTTTTTTGGGATATAATTTGGTGATGTATATTTTTCAAATATTGATACATAGAATGAAATAAACTGAACACGAAAATGACCTGCCTTTAATAATGAAAATAAAACTAAAAAGTGACTAGATAAATAAATATATGTCTCCCTCTAAACATCCCTCTCTTTCCGACAATACCGAAGAGAGAGAAAGAAAAGTGTAAAACTTGACCACCAATGACGGTGAACTGGATTTTGTGATTTCTTTTTCAATTTTTGGTAAATTTGTTCGATGGAAATGCGCAGCAGGAGATCGAATTACACTTTACTAAGACAAAGTCCTGACGACCCAGTATTTCACCAGCAACCGCCACAGGACTCGAAATTCTCAGCCACAAGCGGTGGACCGGTGGCACCGCAGCCTCCGTACTACGAGTCTCATTCCGGAGATAAAAATAAAGTAAAGACGGAACGGGGGGGCTTTGACTGGGACGTGATTGATCAGCGGATGATTCAGCCGCCGCCACAGAGCCGGATCGGGCCGGCGGGGTTTCCGACGTCGATCGGGATGCAGAGGCAGTCAAGTGGGAGCAGCTTTGGGGAGAGCTCGATGTCTGGAGAATACTATCCTCCGTCGCTCTCGAACACTGAGGTAGCGGCTTTTGGGCAAACAAGCGATGGAGGCGGCGGTGAAATGAGGGTGAAGGCTGCGGAGATGTCTGGCGGAAGCGGTGGAGGCTCGTCTTCTTCAAAGAGCTGGGCGCAACAGACGGAGGAGAGTTATCAATTGCAGCAAGCTTTGGCTCTACGGTTATCTTCTGAAGCTACCTGCACTGATGACCCTAATTTCTTGGATCACATGCTTGATGAATCCGCATCTCGAGCTTCTACTTCGTCTGCCTCTGCAGAGGCTATGTCCCATCGATTTTGGGTAACTTAATTAATTCCAGACTTTTATGATGATTGTTTCTGTTAATCCTTAACGGTGCCTAGGGTTATTGTCATTTATTTGGTTCTATATACGGGCACAGCATGTGCTTAAGAAAATCTTTTTGGATTTCTGGAACTTAGATAGGTATTTGATGCAAATTGGTTATGAAATGAATTTTAGACGCTGCATATTTAGTAATTTAACTAAAAGGCATGCAGTGGAGTGTTGGATTTTTAGATGCACCGAAGAGGAGTATTACCAGGTGATATCATTCTTCCTCTCAAGGTGCAATGCTTAAAGGGTCTTAAATCTGTAAAAATAAGATATATAACACTTATCTAATAAATTATAGTTTGTGGATAACGATTCAACATAGTATTGCTTACTAGATAAATATAGATGTTAACCAGTAATTATTAATGTATTGCATACTATCTGAAGATCTGCATACACTGATGTACGATAATTAAGTATTTGTGATTTCTGTTATTTGGCCGTTGATTATGCAAATTGCAAAATGTAGCTTGCGGCTACTTGGTCAAGTGTTCTTTAGGAACTAATTTAAGTTGGTTCTGAGTTGCCTATGATCAAAACTTCCAAAGGATACATGAGGAGCATGCAAAGCCAGAATGTTGGAACATAGTCCATTTCATGTTGTGTTCAAACTCGTCCTTTTTTGGCTACCTCTTCTTCTTACTTTAAACCATGCACAGGGAATAGAAATTATTAGAGTCAATATCACCTGCCAGATAGTTAATTGACTTTTTGGGAGCTGCATGAACCGTGAAAGATAGGTATAGAACTGCGAATCTCAGCTTAGGTTAAGCTGGATAATAAAAGAGAGAGAGGTGGATCTCAAAGGATTATCTCATGGACAGTGTGATCTGTAGTCTGATAGTCTCCACGTGTAGAAGAATCAATTCACGCACACACATATATATGCATACATGTATATGTATGTATGTATGTATATGTGCATATATATGTGTGTGTGTACATGCGCGCGCGCGCGTATACACACACATACATATACACACACACACATATATATTGTCTTTCTTGTAACTTAGCAGACGATGAATATTGTGACGCAGATGATGATTTTATTGTTATCTTATTCTAGCTTCTTTCCCAAATTAAAATATTTCTATATTTTTTCATGTTGGAGGTTCATTTTCATCAGGTAAATGGCAGTTTATCCTACTTTGACAAAGTTCCTGATGAGTTTTACTCAATTCATGGGTTGGATCCATATGTCTGGACCATATGCTCGGATCTACAAGAAAGTGGCCGCATCCCATCACTTGAATCATTAAAGACCGCCAATCTTGCCATTGTTTCATCAATTGAAGTAATTTCTGTAGATCGCCGTAGTGATCCCCGCTTGCAAGAGCTACAGAATCGGATTCATAATGTGTCATCAAGTTGCATCACCAAGGAAGAGGTTGTTGATCATCTTGCAAAGCTAGTTTGCAATGTTATGGGGTGAGCATTAGCACCTTCTATGTGTAGTTTGAACTCATTTTCTGTTCTGTTCTTGTTGTAATTAAGTTCTTTTTCCTTCCCAAGAGATGCAGCTTCGAATGGGGAAGATGACTTGGTTATTATCTGGAAGGATTGCACTGATGACCTCAAGAATTGCTTAGGATCCATTGTGCTTCCAATTGGCAGTCTAACTGTTGGACTTTGCAGGCACCGGGCTTTGTTATTCAAAGTATGTTCTGGTACTTGCATTAGTATAGTTTTGAAAATCTGTGGAGACATTTAAATACCTGTATTTGAGATTTTAATTTACAGCTCCTATCATACCTCATAGTAAATTCATCATAATTATCTATCATATTATCTTATCATTATTTCATTTGCGTTGGATCATATTTGTCCACTCACCTCTGAGCGTGCCCCTTCTAGTTCGGAGATGATTGTTTCTTCTCTTAAGTTAATTCCTATATGTTTTCCTTGTTTAAATTGATATGCTGTTGGAAGAATTTTTTCCCTCAAAATGCATCTAGAGTATTGATTTTGTCTCCACCCTAAGAATATTAGCATTTCTGCAGGTTCTAGCTGACTTCATTGGCCTACCATGTCGAATTGCCTATGGATGTAAATATTGTAATAGAGATTATGCTTCCTCATGTCTTGTTCGATTTGGGATTGACAGGTATATATTATGGCTCATAATGCCATTTTTATCATGTAAATTTATTCAATGTGTACGTAGATAAAAGAAAGTGCTCTTACCTGGTCAACAAAGTGGAAAGAATGACATGAAAAGCATTCGAAAGAATGACATATGAAAAGCAGAATGCTACAGTGAGTCTGAACACATCGTGGATTAGCATTTTAAGAGAGATGATTTACTGTGAGAAGGCCACAAATCTTAAATAAGATTATAACGTAAACTGATTATTCTTAATTTTATGTTAATGTGTTCATAGTTTATTAGGTGGTAGTATGGTAGATCTTAATGCATATAATCCATGCTTTCCTTAATTTTTCTGTCATTTCAATTTTTGAGGTTTATGAGAAGCTGCTTTGATCTGAGGGGCATCATAGTATAAGGATGTTCTAAATTTTGTCCTATGTAATAGTTTCAATAATATGAACATGTTGGCTTTGGCATCACAGGGAATATGTTGTTGATTTGGTTGAGAAACCAGGATTCTTATGCGACCCGAACTCCTTGCTAAATGGTCCTTCTTCCATCTCAATTTCTTCACCACTGCACTTTCCACGATTCAAACAGGTTCAACCTACAATGGATTTCAGGTCGTTGGCCAAACAGTATTTCTCAGACTTTCAATCGCTTAATCTTGTATTTAACGATTCTTCGGCAGGTAAGAATTTCTCTGGTCAAATTCTTTTTAATTTGGGTATTAAATTTCACCAAGTTAGCCCTCCCCTTGCTTCCTGTCTCTTTTTCAACCCAACCATGTTATCTTTTGATGTATTTTTGCAATTTCTGTCCATGTTACTCTATACTGATATTTTTGACAAGGCTATTACTCTCTGATAAAAAATGAACTGAATGATCACATTCCACAATTTTTGTTTTTATAACAGTTAACAAATGGGCATTTCAAGATTTTTGCATCTATATTATTATAAAAAGAGAGGAGACATAATAAACAAAGCATTTTGAAACTTCGCTCTTTGGCATGGCAAATGTCAGTCAGTCAGTCAACCAAACTCATTGCCGAAAGAGGGAATGTCGGTCTGACTTCTTATTTCTCACATGGGGTTGATGTAGTTTCAAAACCTGGATGGGAAATATTCGTCATTGTTTTAATTTGGAACGAAGCTTCGTTCAATTTACCTTTTCAATATACTGAAATTTTTTAACATTCCTTGGACTGATTTTATTCCAACGTAAGTATACGCATAGGCACAGAGATGTTCATGAATAATAATTATGTACTATATGCGTATATACAAGTTTGAATTATCCAAATTGTTTTATTCTATTTATCTGTATATAATGGCTAAATAACTTTTTGGTCAAATGACTCAGATCTAAGAATGGTTTGAGATGAAAATAAATAAATAAATAAAAATCCCAAAACTCCATGAAATGGAAGCATATTGCATATGCATCTGCTATTTTACTCATCTTGAGGCTGTCTAAAATTTTTGTTTTTACATGTAAATCTACCAGTAACTACATCCAGTAATTGAAAAAAATAAATGTCTAACTTGTAAGAAACGATGGATTTTATCTAGAAAGCACAGACATGGACATGCCAACACACAATTTTTCAAGAAAGTATTGACACAAAACAATAAGTCTTTGATTAAAAATAATATCAATTTTTTCTTATATTTATATTGTAAAGTGAATTTTTTTTTTCGATAAAATAATGATTTGGACACACCCCCAGGAATTTTTTTGACATGTCGAACACTGATTCGTCGGTGTTGGGAGGGCGTCAGTGCATCTTAGGCCGTTCTATATTTTCCCGATAATAAAATAAGCAATTAACGAATGTATAGGACACATTTATTTATACATTTGTTCTCAAGGTTAAATATGTCGGGCTAATTTTGTTTCATTAATATATTTACTTTGGATATTTTTCTGAATATTTCATATTTACATTATAAATTGGGCCAACTTAATCTGGATCTGGTGCCACTTATTTGCTGAACATTTTTCAGCATTTGTTTGTTTTAGTTCGTATTTTCATGACTGATTTCTTTTCACAAACTAGCATCCTTTCTTTTGTTTTAGATCTGTTTTGTCAGTCTTTAGAATTGGTATGTGAGCAATAGTTTAACATTGTCCTCATTTTTTGTGTTCTCTCATTTGAGTAACTGAGTTGGCACAATCTTCTTAATTTCTTTTCACAAAATTGCCAAAAACTGATTTAAAGAATGTACACCCTCATTTAAATGTGATATACCAAAATTTCACAAATTTTATTTTTGGGAGCCGTGTGATTTGAGCAATTAAAAACAAGAGGAAAAACAAACTAAATCTTGTTCCCAAAAAACTTGGGAGTCAGCTACCTGAATCCCCTTTGCCACTCAGTTCAGTCCATTGCTAGATCTACTTGAATCTCAGTGATTTGAGGATTGACATTAAAAATTTTATAATGTCTTGTCTTGTGTTTTAAATCTTTCTAATTGCATTTCTACGTTCGTTTCTTTTACTTTGGTTTTTGGACGGTGTTATGCTCATTATGTTACTTCGGTTTTTGACGACCATCCTATTAGTTTAGCTGGGTTAAATTCATAACCGAAGATTTTTTATTATTGTGACAGCTGATACTGTTGTTGATGGAGATGTTGGCAACTCCGTCTATCCTAAACAATCAGATAGGGTTCATCAAAATAGAATCAGCAACCGAGATGAAATTTCTCAATTGCCACTGTCTCCAACGAATTCTCAGACAAATGTACATGATAAAGAACCATCACTTTTGGACCCATCTAATCCTCATAATATTTTTAGCTCCACAGATGTGACCAATGATTTGATCCCTGTAAAGCATATTCCTCCAACCAGACACAAAGACAACCTATTGGATCCAAGACTAAAAACAAATGAAGATTTGAGCTTTGTTGGAATTCAACTGGCTCCATCGAAAACAAGTGAACTTGCAATTGATGTTGCAGATTTCAGGATTCCCTGGAGTGATCTTGTTATAAAGAAGAGAATTGGCGCAGGTACATCTGCCATAAAAGCATTGCTGGGTGTAAACCATGTTGTCATTTTCTTATGTAGTGGAGAAAGGATTAGTCTCTCTGGAGCACTTATGACTTGTGTGCTTAATAATTTTGCAGGTTCATTTGGTACGGTCCACCATGCTGAGTGGAATGGTTGTGTAAGATATCCATTCTCTTATTCTTTGAAACCAGTGAAACCTATTTTTTTCTTATTTTCCAGACCGTTGGCCTTATTCAGTATTCTGGATATTTTTTTCTGTTTTAAATTCATTATTCTTTTTGTATTCTAATTTGAATCACGTGAATGCTTTTTTTTCCTGCATTACATGATTGAGGTTTGATTCCCTTAACTTTAATCTTATGTAAGCCTATATCTTTCAGGATGTTGCTGTGAAGATTCTCATGGAACAAGATTTTCATGCAGAGCAATACAAGGAATTTTTACGGGAGGTCGGTATTTTCTGTCTTGTAATTTTCCTTCAGCTTTTCTGGTCCTACGTTTGGTTGTTTATTTAGCTTCATTTCTTTTTCTGGATCAGGTGGCAATTATGAAACGCTTGCGCCATCCCAATATTGTACTTTTTATGGGTGCTGTAACAGAGCCGCCAAACTTGTCCATAGTCACAGAATATTTATCACGGTACTTCTATACTTAGATTAATTATGAACTTGGAATGTTAGCTATTAGTCTATTTTATAATGCCTTCTATAGTTTTTGCTGACTTAGACTGTGACTTCACTTTTCTTTTCCAGAGGTAGTTTGTATAGACTCTTACGTAGACCTGATGCAAGAGAAGTGCTGGACGAGAGGCGTCGGTTGTGCATGGCTTATGATGTTGTATGGATGCAAATCACTCTGTGTCAATGGACTTGCTACTGTGCTAATAATATCGTCTTACTATTTCCGTTGTGTCATTATCCTCTTTCTTTTTCTCCTACATTCTGATGTTTGGACTTGGTGAATTACATTGTTTCTACAGGTGAAGGGGATGAGCTACCTTCATAAACACAATCCTCCCATTGTTCATCGGGACTTGAAATCTCCTAATCTTTTAGTTGATAAAAAGTATACAGTGAAGGTAAGCGAGATGATATTTACAGCTTGATTTTTTGTTGCATCTGTTTGCTATAATCATTTTGTGAAATGCATTGTCATATGCAGTTGGTGGGGATAGCTTCATCTATGGAACCATTATACATTTAATGTCAAATATTTCTTTCATTGAAATGAAATCTTAAAACAAAAATCTATCAAACAGCTCATTATAGGCCTAAGTCTCAGCTAAAGATCTGAATTACATAATTGTCCTACTGTCTACTAACCATTGACTCATATGAGTAAATACAATTAATTTCGTAAAATACAAAAATCAAATCTTGTAAGTTAGTAAATCCTATTTGTTTCCAATACTCCTATCGAGTTGAACATGTTCTCTCTAGCTGGCTTACCATGGAATTAAATGTTAAATTAGATCTCTTTTGTGGAGATGTTGGGCAACTGGAAGGACCTGAAAAGATAAACAGGAGTACAAATTAGATCACCGCCAATTTTCTCTTCAATGAAGTGTTTATTACAATGTTCTTGGTTCTTCAATCTCTGCTTCTAGTTCTCCCTGCAAGATTTTAGTCCACATTATGGCCATGATCTTCTCATTTTTCCATGTTCTGCCTATGAAGCTACAATATCCTGAGGTAGACCTTCTGTCACTTAGAGCCCATAGAAAAATAACAAGCCTTTACCCAGAGTAGATTTTTAAACATCTCAGTTCTCGTAGCATCCTTTTCGAAGGGAGCATGCATGAATTGACTCACCCATTCTAACAAAATTTGCAATATCAAGTGAAGTTCTCGACTGGCTCAAAGAGGTTTAACAGGTTAATCTGTATTCAGTCGATGGTCTTGGTAGTATTTGGAGTACAGAATTATAAAGCAAAGAAGTTTTTGACTGGCTTGTAGAGGCTTAACATATGGTCTATGTTTTTGTTGTTATTTATGAGGTCGCATTATCAAGTGCAAATATTTTCGACTGGCTCGAAGAGGTCTAACAGTACGTGGTCGATGTTTTTTGTTGATATAGGTGATAGATCCTCCTTCTAACATAACTCACTGGTGCATCAAGGAGAAATGAGTAGAAAGATACAAGAAAGAGGAAAGAAAATGAACTAGTTGAAAGGAGCAATGTAAAGAGTTGGGCAAGACAACTGGAAGAACAATACTTAAAACAACACCACAATTCTAGAGAACAGTGCTCAGATTCTGTATTGGAACAAATCTACTTCTTCGTTGTCATTCAATAAAATCTTAAATTCAAATATTCATACAATCTGCAGTTGACTGTGGCCTAAAATCCGTGCAAAAGATCTAACCAAACAACTTTCGTACCATGTACAAACCATTGGCCAAGTCGTCAATGAATACAATTAATTACGTAAGATATAGAGAACCAATTCTCAGAAGTACAGAATCTATTTGTTTCCTACATGTCTTATTTGTGCATGTATATCTAGCATTTTTATGTTCACTTGTGGAACTCAGGAAGTGTTCTTTTTTCATTTCTAGGGAAGAAAGGGGTGCATCCCATGTAGGAGAGAGTTCACCTAGCAATATATGTAATGTATATTTTCTAAAAAAATTGGCCAGAATGACAAGTGTCTGTTTCTCATTGCACCATATAATTTCCCGCATATCTTAAGAAAAAACTGTTTATTTTCTTCTGAAGTCTCAGAGTAAGCACATGTAGCGAGTAATAGCTGGAAAATAAATAAAAAATAAACTCATATTTTGATGTACCTTACCTGCCTATTGTATTAATCAGGTCTGTGATTTTGGTCTTTCCCGTTTAAAAGCAAACACATTTCTTTCATCAAAGTCAGCTGCTGGAACTGTAAGTTCAATTGCTTTTGTACAATGATATAATGCCTTAATCTTTAGCTGGGGTTGTGCAAATCATATCATAAAGAGACCTCTTTCCTTTCTTCTTTCCATTTCGGTAGCCGGAGTGGATGGCACCCGAAGTTCTCCGTGATGAACCATCAAATGAAAAATCAGATGTATACAGCTTTGGTGTGATTTTGTGGGAGTTGGCAACACTGCAGCCACCTTGGAGAAACTTAAATCCTGCACAGGTTTGTAAAATGCATTAAATATACCTAGATGAAATGCTGGAATTCAAGCCTCATATCCTTGCTGTTGTGGTAGGCAAATTATTTATGTCCAGCAGGGCCAGAAGGGGAGGGGATTTGTCGTCTGGAAAGAGCTAACTATGGGAATAGGGGGAAAAATTGAACATAAACTGGAAATGGTTGGTCAACCCCAAGGTGTCGAAGTTAATAAATACTAGCATGTTTTTATTTGTCGGTGGCACTTATTATCCTCCTGGATATCATGGATGAGATGCATTGCATGTGATTCTGTCATTTTGAATATATTTTTATCTCATGGTGAAAGTAATGTTCAATGGAGTAGAAATTACTAACTTTCTAATGTGCTCTAACTTTTAATGATTCAAATTTATCAATAAATTAAGTGACTACAAGTCGACAACATGTAAAAGTATTCTTGTGAAATCTGGGTAAGTAACTTCCAAATGTAACAAGGCAGGTCAAGCATTGACTATTCAATTGGTCATAATTTCTTATAATTTTACCTAAGAAGATGAAAGTAAGTTGCATGTAGAGTTGTTCACTAGTTCATACAATGTTAAAGACGTTTTGTTTTCTTTTTAATAATTTCTTCTAGTATAGCGAAGATGGGAGACTCTCACAACATCCAAGCCCAACCACCCAACCCAACCGGACATGGCTTCATTGGTGCTTGCCACGATGCCTAGATCAGTAAACCAAACCCTATCGGCCTCACGCCTCAAATACAAAGCCAAACCTTCTGGCACGCGGCGGCTACAAACCCTAGCGCTGCCTCTACTCGGATCCATGGAGGACACGACGACGCACTCTCCGGTGAGGAGATGGAGGCTCTTGGCGACACCATACACGAAGGAATCAGGCATCGCACAGATCCAGTAACGGTGACAAGGTTGACCCACCTTGTTACAGCCATCTCACAACCGCATGCGCCTATCCGACCGGTCTTGCAGGCAGTTTCGATGCTAGCAGGATAGGCCCTTGGAGAATGTGTTGATTTGCCGCCCACGCGTCGTCGCCAACGGCCTTTTAGGTTCCCTGCACTACAACGAGGCCATTCCAATCGTTGGTTCCACCTTTAGCTGGCTCAATTGTGCAAAATTATGGGAAACGGACCTATGAAGTAGTCTTCAGTTCTCGCTTTAGAATTGAGGCAAAGGAGTTTGTAGTGTCTGTTAATGCCTCAAGTATTGTTAAGCTATCAGAATGGGGATCAAAGATATTGGATGCAGTTTGCATGGGCTGATTTGGCGCCGTTTGGATGGTGAATATGGTAGATAAGTTGAGGGGAGCTAGTAAGATAGAGGAATTCGTCATCAAGTTCAATAAATCTTCACGAGCTTTCTTGGCACAACGCTGTGTAAACAGTCGTGTTAGGTTTTTAATGATAGCATAATATGGGGAGAGTGTCAGAAGGGTGTTGTGATGGTGCTAGAAGGTCCGAATGGAGAGGGATAGGCAATGATTTCATGCGTTTTTCAGGCAGTTATTGATTCTTTTGTTGCCGGAGATAAGGTTAAGCATCGAACAGATGACAAAAGGAGTCGACTAGGGAGGATTTATGCTGAAGTCACGGCAAACCAATGAGCATCGTAGAATGCCAATCAGCGGGTATTGGTGAATAAGGAAATGGTGGGAAATGAGAGGAGAGATCCTAATGCCGACTTAAGGGCTCGTATCGTGGTGCTGAAAGGAGAATTGGATGAACTGATCAAGCTAGTGGAAAGTGGGTCAGAAGTGGGGCCTAGAAAGAATTATTGCCATAACTATGGGGTGGGATTGGAGTAGTCTTCAACCACTGGAAAATATGTAGTGAATTTGGATGCTAAGGAGCTAACATCGATATGGGCCGAACTAAAGATAAACAGGTGGTGGATAAGCCTAGTGGCAAGTCTCAAACACAGTTTGAAGCGGTGGAATCCTTTGGTGATGGAAATAGGTTCAAGATGGAGGAATAGATATGGATGAAATGGACCCAATCATTAAAGCAGATCAAGAGACGGAACCTTTGGCTAAATTAGGGGAGCCAGGAATTATGAATTTGGTTTCGGAGGTACACATTAGAGCCGAATCAATTGTTCTATGAAGGTGGGTGCGATGGATATGATTCCACCTGTAGAAAGATCATTGTCGGCTAGCAAGCCAGAGACTAGAATTATAGTGGTAGAATGTTCTGCTTCGACAATTGAGGAAAAGTTGGGGACGACAGGCTCAACAACTATGGTAGTGAACACCTACTGTAGGAGACTTCCCAAGTCTTTGAAGGAGGGATCTAAGGAATGATAATGCTTTGGTATGGGTTGGCGGCGCCGAGAAGGGAGATACAAACAATGACATACAGGTGGAGGAAGAGTAAGGAAACTGCTATGATCCTATTTATGCTGAGCAGATAGCCTAAGTTAGTGCACTTGACGTAGACACCATCAAATTGGGTTCTACAAAAATTTTTTGACTTCAGCAACATGGTAGGTGTGTCCTCTGATGGGTATGAAAATAAGCTCTTGCAACTATTTGAGGAACTGGAGGCTAATAGGGGACAGGGGGATGAGTACATCAGGGTGTAAGACAAGAAGAATGGGGGATCGTGAGCTTAAGCGGCTTGAATGTTCAGTAAATTATGATGTCAGGGGTGGTGAGCCAAGGAGGCCTGATGGGGAGGGATAGTGGAGCGTGTAGATGACTCCCAAAATAATTAGTTGAAATGTGAGAGCGCTTAATGAAGTTGGAAAAATGTTAGGTGTTCGAAATTTAGTAAGGGGATGGAAGGCTGACTTTGTATGTTTACAAGAAACAAAGTTGGAGGTCGTCTCGAGGGCTGTCGTAAATAGCCTATGGGGGGCCGTGGGGTATCAGTTGACAGGGTCATTGGGGGCTTCAGGAGGTATGATAGTTATGTGGGATACTAGAGTTTTTTATATGGTGGAAGTTAGTGAAGGGATATTTAATCTATCACGTTCGTTTAGAATTTGGGGATAGATTCCGTTGGATGTTCATAGGAATTTATGGGCCTAATGCAAATGAGAGGAGGTGAATTGGCTTGGTGGAACTTCACAACATGCATTGGAGGAGATTTTAATGTGGTTCGGTTTGCCACTGAAAGATCTAGTGGGGGAAGATTAATAGGGGCTATGGAGGAATATTCAGATTTTATTATGGAGAACATGTTGGTGGATCTGCTTATGATTGGGGAGACTTACTTGGTCATCTAATTGGGACCAATCTATTGTATCCCGAATAGATCGGTTTCTGGTATGTGGGGACTGGGAGGCTAAGTATTCAGATGTCACTCAGAGGAGATTGTGGAGGTTGTATTTAGATCATTTCCCTATTTCGTTAACTAGGAATGCGAGGTGCAGTGGAAGAAAGTAGCCTTTTAGGTTCGAGAAGATGTGGCTTGAAGTAGAAGATTTTAGGGAAAGTACAGACTTGGTAGGCATCCTATAACTTCATGGGGTCTCCCAGTTATGTGTTGGATCGGAAATTGAAGGCGTTGAAAAGGGATCTAAAGAGGTGGAATGAGGAGGTGGTAGGAGATGTTAACTATGACAAAAATCAATGCCTATCAGACATCGAAGAGTTGGACAGGAGGGAGGAAAGTTGAGGATTGGTAGGGGATGAGAGGGTGAGACGTGAACTAAGGGAAGAGTTAGAGAGGTTGGTGGAGATGGAGGAGACTACCTGGCATCAGAAATCCAGAGTCGAGTGGTTGAAAGGGGGGGAAATGCGCCAAGTTTTTCCATAGGGTCACTAATTCCAAAGGGCGCAACAATTCCATCACTATGTTGGAGGTGGATAGGGTTACTTACGAGGATCTACAGGATATCGAGACCAATTTGGTCAATTTCTATCAGACTCTTTATTAGGAGCAGTTTGACGGGATGCCAGAGTTGAAGGGTCTACATTTTTCTACTATTAATGAGGAGGATGTCAATTGGTTAGAGGAAACATTTGGGGAGGATGAAATTAGGGAGGTGGTGTTTAGCATGAATGATGATAAGGTTTAGGACTAGACAGATTCTCTTTCTCATTCTATGAGGCTTGTTGGGGAGTGGTGCGATCAGACATTGTGTATGTTCTTACCTATATCTTCCAGTGTGGAAGGTCCTTGAGAAGCGCCAATGTACATTTGTTGTGTTGATTTCTAAGAAACCGGGAGCGATGAATGTTAAGGATTTTCGTTCTATTAGCTTAGTGAGTGGGGTGTACAAAATCATTGCAAAGATTTTGGCTAATAGATTAAAGGAGGTGTTAAGGAAAGTAATGTAAAGTTTTAGAATGCTTTCATAAAAAAGCGCTAGATTTTGGATTCAGTTTCATAGTAAATGAATGTATTGACTCAAGACTGCGCCTAGGAGTCCCAGGAATGTTATGTAAGCTTAACATTTAGGTTTATGAACACGTAAATTGGGGATTACTTTTGTATATGCTCAAGCGAGTGGCTTCGGGGATAAGTGGTGCCAGTGGGTCCAGATTTATATCTCTATAGTTTCTTTCTTAGTTATGGTGAATGACAGTCCGGAGGGTTATTTTCGTAGTAGCAGAGGATTGACGCAAGGGGATTTTTTTTCTCTATTGCTGTTTGTCATTGTAGTGGAGGCTTTCAGTAGAATGTTTGATAAGGATAGCAAGCTTGTATGGGATCTTATTCCGGATTGCATCGTATGGTGTAGGTGAAGAGAAAGACACAGTCGTTGTTTTGATGATCAAACACGAACAACAGAGTAGATTGGAGAATTGTTCTATTTGACATAGTATACTTGGTTTAAGGCTGCAGCTACTAGGCATATCGGGCTACCCAATTTCTTGTTTCTTTCTGGTTTAAATTGATAGTACACTTTCTCTGTATTATGCATTGATTAATAAAATATTTAATTATCTTTAAAAAAAAAAAAAAAAAAAAAAAAAAAAAAAAAAAAAAAAAAAAAAAAAAAAAAAAAAAAAAAAAAAAAAAAAAAAAAAAAAAAAAAAAAAAAAAAAAAAAAAAAAAATT